ACTCTTATTCTACCCTACTATTCTATTCTACTCTACTCTTATTCTACTCAACTATTCTATTCTACTTTACTCTTATTCTAGTCTATTATTCTATTCTACTCTACTCTTTTTTAAAAAATAATTTTTTTATTAAATTTTACACAATTAAAAACAACACAAATACAAAACAGCACAACAACACAAATACCATTTTTACAATGTTGTGACATCTACTTTCCCAGTTCCTGTATATTTATATATACATTTATTTGTTTATATTATTTTTTATTCTTGCTGTCCTATCATCCAGCCAATTATACCATTTTTTTCCAGACTGTATAATATTCCTTCTCTTCCCTCTCTTGTAATTCCAACGTGAGTTTTGCTATTTGTGCACACTCCATAATTTTGTTTATGATCACACTGTCTGTGGGGTTACTATCTGGTTTCCAACTTTGGGCATAGATTATTCTTGCTGCTGTTAGAATATGTATCATGAAATATTCAATTTCTTATTCTTCTATTATATTCTACTCTTATTCTTCTATCCTATTCCATTCCATCCCATCTCATCCCATCCTATCCTAAAAAGATAAAACCAACTCTGGTTTCCTGCACATCTTATGCGCAGCCAGGCCCAAAGTCACCCAGCCGGTTTTCATAGGTAGGCTTAAAACTCACCGTCTCCTGGTTTTTTAATCCAGCCTCTTAAACCACAACACCAAACTGACACAACCCTGCTGTGTTTTGAAATGGTCCCATTCAGGTTAGAAGGCAGAAGTTGTGTTGCTGATATTTTGAAAGGAACAAAGTAAATGCCTTTAAGTTTCCCACCAGTTAAACGTGTGGAAAGGATGATTCTTTTCCCCTTACCCAAAGTTTTAAAACCCAAAATCAGGACTTTTCAGCCTTTGCCCGTTAATCCCACCCGACCAAATCAAAAACGTTGGCTTCACCCAACGTTGCGATCGTTGAACCTAATCCAAGAAGCTACCAGTTGTTAAAACAAGTCAAGTTTGTATTTCGGTGGCTGCCTTAATTCGATGAATTCAAATAAGTAAGGAAATTATTCTTGTTTATTTTACTTATTGCTGGTTTTCTGGGAATATCCAGGCGAATGCTGGTACCACGTTCCTTCTCCTCTGAAACAGAAGTTAAAGCAAGTGTCCGTGGGACGAACGGCTGTGCTGGCGGTGGATAAAAATGGTGAGAAGCGAATCCTGTCTTCCTGGTTGGGTTTTTTTTTTAATGTTGGTTTTTTGGGGGAAAAAATTCTGGTTTCTTTGAGTTGCTCATCAATTCTGTAAGTGCTCCATTGGAAAGGAAGTGCAGTTATAAAATCACTGAACAGTCCATAATAGTTTGCGGTTAGCAATTGAATTGTTAACCATTCATTCATTAGCTACTAGCTCAATACCCGTGCTTTGCTACAAAACTATGTGGTCAGGAGGAAAATAAGCGGGGGGGGGGGGAATTGTGCCTCTGCCTACCAGCATCCATCGGTATTCATCTGGCTAGCTTCCTGTCAGTGTGTGAGAGAGTTGAGGGCTGTTTGGAAACTGAAAGAGTATTTGCTGTGTGAGCAAGAAGGAGACAGCAAGGAGCCTGGGCGTGGCTTAGCTCAACTTGTGTACTAAAGCTGCTTGGTGCTGTGAAACTAAAACTGAAACTTCTCTGTTTGTGTTTTGCATTTGGAAGAGATTTCTTCTCAGGTGGGGAGGGGGAGTAGAACTCCTTAGCATCAGAACATGTTAATAATAATAATAATATAGGGAATATTCTAAACACTCTGATGGTCATTTCGAAAAATCCTTTCTTAGTGAGCGCCTAGAAGCCAAGAGGAACATACATGCCAAATGTCAAGTTTGTAGGCTTTACAGTTCTGGAGATTTTGTAATGAAGCATAAGGGGTATTTTGCTTTTATATAGAGAGATTGTTAGTATGTTATAATAGCACTGAAAAAAGCGACTTATGGACCAGTCCTCATGCTTATGACCAACACCGCATCCTCACAATCACGTGGTTGAAATTCTGGGGCTTTGCAATTGGCACGTATTTACGATGGTTTCAATGTCCCAGGATCACCATCTTCCTAGCTGGCTTCCGACAAGCAGAGTCAATGGCGAAAGAATGGATTCGCTTAATGAGCGCACGATTAACTTAATAACTGCTGTGATTCACTTAATGATGGCAAAAAAAGGTCATAACATGAATCCCTTAACAACTGCCTTGCTTGGCTATGAAAATTAATTGTGGTCGTAAACTGAGACTACCTGTACTGGATTAATCAACACTTGTCGACAAGACATACGAGGAATAAAATGACAAACAAGTATATGAGTTTATTTCTGCTTGGTCTGAAATTTCTCAATCCCTTCTTGTCTTTTATAGGTAATCTTTGGTTTCGTGCCGGAATCACACCGAGTTACCCTCAAGGATCTAGTTGGGAACATATTTCAAACAACGTCCGGAAAGTTTCTGTGGGACCCTTGGATCAGGTGTGGCCATAGTAGAAAAATATATATTTTAAGAATTTAAGCCAGTGTTTTTTTTAACCTTAGCCACTTTAAGGTGAGTGGACTTCAACTACCAGATTTCCAAGAAGCTTTTCCAGTTCTCTAGAAGCTGGAGGAAATCCTAGGAAACGGGCACTTTGTGATTGGTGATACCTGCCACGTTATACATTTTATGACTAGAAAAATACTCCACCAGGCTGCCATTTTGGGAAAACACCTCAGCCATCTTCTTCTCCCAATTCAAAAAATTCCCCCATGAGCTCCAAAAGGGCAGCCATCTTTGACGTGGGCGTTGTGTGTTAATGAAGGGTGGCTTGTAATGCCTGTCGGGTGATAATGTTGTTTTTGTTTTTTTAGATCTGGGTGATAGCTGACAAAGTCCAAGGGAGTCACAGCCTGAGCTGTGGAACTGTCTGCCGTCGGACCGGCGTCCAACCTCTGGAACCCAAGGGCACCTCTTGGGACTATGGCATTGGGGTGAGCCTCAGAAACACCAAACCTGGCTTCTCTCCGTAATCCTTCCCTGCCACACCCACCAAGCCACGCCCACAGAACTGGTAGTAAAAAAAAAAAAAATTGAATCCCACCACTGAGTCACTCCCAGGTGCAGGGCAACTTGTCCTTGACTCTCCAAGAAAGGAATGTTTTTGTGTCTAGTCTCCTACCTCACTAAGAAATCCCCCCTCCCAAATTCCCAGGCACTGAATGTGGCGGCCTGGAAGCTTCCAAGTATAAAATGGCTTCCAACGCTGACACTCCAAAGAGTGAGGTTTTCCCAACACCCCCTTTCTAACCTGTTCCCTCCCCTTCCTGACTTTGCAGGGAGGCTGGGAACACATCACCGTACGAGGGAACGCCACCGAAAGGACCAAGATGGCAGCTCAGGATGGTCCAAGCAGCTCTCCTCGGGACCATAGTAGCTTAGAAGTTCACGGAAGCTACGAGCCGCGAACCACCATTTTTGTAGACGGCGTCCAAGGCTTGGACCAAAACGCTGTCCAGTGTTGACTGGTCTCTGAAGTTTCCACCTTCCGCTCATTCTGGATCACGGAAGCTACCCTGAAGACTAGGCTGGTGTTTGAACGCCCGTTCTGAGTGTGCCAAGAGGTCAAGTCAACTCCCAAGCATGCCGTCTCCTGACCCTTCCTTCTTGTGTCCCTTTGGTGAGAGAGCAGGAGTGTTGACCCCGTCGTCCTCCTCGAAGGGATGCTCCACCCTGGGTGTCTGCCAGGTGTTGTGCGGTTGTGATCTCCCAGAATTCCCCGCTTCTCCGTGAGCCTTCTGGGAGTTAAGATTCAACACACACACACACACACACAGTGGAGAAGGTGCAAGAGGGAGAAGATCTGGTTTGGAGATGGTTGAATGGAAACACTGCATGTCCATCACCCCAGTGGGAGAACTGGATGTTTGTGTGTATGTGGTGTGCGAATCCTGCTTGTGTTGTTGTTTTAACCCCTTAATTTATTGTGGTGTTCCTTAGGCCTGGTGGAATCGGATGTTCTCCAGTAGCTCTGGATTGGTTCCCATCCAGTAAGCCATGGTTTATGCTGGCCAGTACATGACCCAACATGCAGCTCGACCAGGGTCCATTAACCCTTTCTATTATAAGCCCCCACTCAAGAGTATCTTTGACCCCCCTCAACCCTGGCTTTTCTTAGATGTTCCACAGGCCGGACCTGATCTAGGCTGAGCCAGCCTCCCTGACAGAGTTGACATAAATAAACGGAGCCAGTTTAGTTAATTCTATAGCAAGCACTTCTATATATATATATATATTTTAAATTTCTCCAAAGGCCCAGGGGTCCTTACATTTGTCACCCAATACTGACAATTAGCAGAGAAGAAGCTGGGGGGGATTGGAAGCCAAGATTGGCCACCCCTGAGGGAAAAAACAGCCGTGAAAATGGTCAGTTGCCTGTTGATCTAGAGCAGTTTATGAATCTCAGCTACTCAAAGATAGAGAGACTGACCTTTCTTTCTTTCTGTCCTTTTTCTTTTCCTCTCTTCCTCCTTCCCCTTTTCCTTTCTTTTCCCCCTTCCTCCCTCCCTCTTTCTTTCCCCTTTCCCTTCTTTCTCCCCTTTTCTTTTTTCTTTCCCTTTCTCCCTCCTTCCCCTCCTTTCTTTGGTTGTCTTTTTTCTTCCTTTTCTTCCCTTCCTCCCTCTTTCTTGCTTTCTTCCTTTTTCTCTTTCCTTCCCTCCCCTTCTTTCTTTCATTTTCTTTTCTTTTTTCTTTCTTTTCCCCTTCCTCTTTTTTCTTCCCTCCCTGCTTTCTTTCTTTCCCTCTCCCCCCTTCCCCTTCTTTCTTTCATTTTCTTTTTCCCCTCCCTCTCTCTTTCTTGCTTTCTTCTTTCCCCTTTCTTCCTTTTTCCTTTCTCTCCCTCCCTCTTTCTTTTCTTTTTTCTTTCTTTTCCTCCCTCCCTCTTTCTTCTTTTTCCCCTCCCCTCCTTCCTTCCTTCCTTCCTTCCTTCCTTTCTTCCTCCCTTTCTTTCTTTCTTTCTTTCTTTCTTCCTTCCTTCCTTTCTTCTTCCCTTTCTTTCTTTCTTTCTTTCTTTCTTTCTTTTCTTTGTACACTAAAATAGCTAAATGAAGGACACTCCTGTCTCCTTGTTTGGTCCTGTTGACTTAATCAACACAAGGAGATAGGTCTCCAGTTATGTATTTTCTCTTGTGCTGCTTCTTGAGAGAGAGAGAGAGACAGTAAGGTGAGCCGTTTTGTATTTGAAATCAA